GTTGTAATAACGCCTATTGTTTGTATTTAAAATATTTAGTCCATCCAGCATATTCCGTTAGGAGCGAGTTAGTGACTTAGTGGATAAATAGGGACAACGACCCAATCTTGGCGTTTCTGTCAGAGAACCTTTCCTCAGAACCGAATTCTTTCGGGGGCGTAAACGAGGGGGGATCAAAAGCACTTCTGCTGTTCCGTCAGCTAAACATTTCACGACTTATAACACGCCTTCATTACTACTACGATTGCAGCCAAGGAAAACGTACATATGTTGCGTTACTCAGTCGAATCATAGGATAACCCGTTTAGTCGTTGCTTCCTCAACATAAAAGGAGAATAAATGAAGCATAGGTGAGACGATGGTCTGACGCAATAGATACAGTTCACTGTTTTCATCCTTCGCTGAGAAAGCGCATCTGATAGTACTATGCACAAAACGTCAAGCCCTTCACTACATATATGTTATGATATAACAAAACAAAGTTAACTTTTAAAACAACGGGCTCAATTGCAACGCAACCTGTGACATAGTCATTGAACAACGAAGCACCATAACTTAAAATTCTTTTGGTACAATAAAAAATGACGTGATACAAATTATTACGCTCATTTGCGGTTTCATCTGATGATAAGTCTATTTTTACTTGCGCATGGTATTTATGAAGGCGTCTAATGATTTTACAGCATGCATTGAAGAATAATGAGTAGTCGCTTCATCGTTGTACTGTCTTCAGGATCCACTGTACTCCTTAATTAATCATAGCTTTGGATAAAAAACTAGTTTACGGCTTCATACTTTTATAAAATTACATGTATTCAGCAACTCCATGCCTCACTATATATTACTTGACCCACGTTGAACCAATTACCATATACGTAGTTTTCTATTCAATCAGTCCTTTGAATAGATAACGATATTTGATGTAAATTAAATATTGATTTTACGTGTAATTGTTTACTTTTGTTTGTGCTTTTTAGATTTACTGGACGCCTCAGCAAACAACTGAGAAAAGCGTTTGATTCGATTCATTTCATATTTAATGTGCACTGTAAAAGTATATTCAATGTGAGGATATTCTCAAATAAACAACTGCATTTGTTGAGCCAGACTGGAGCGTGTATATCCGTGTACAAATCTATGCATGCAACCGGTATTTCATGTTTTTAGAGCAGATAAAGTTTTCATCTCTAGAAAGCAGCGGCTGCTCTACAAAGTCTTTCAAATGGTCTCCCGCCAAACAAAGGGCTTAGTGGTTTGAACTATAAGGTGACGACGATCAATCATGCATAATCGAATAATGCGGTGTGCAATCTTCAGTCACAAATTACTTTGAAGTTTCCTTTTAATCGGACGCTTCAGCTTTCGGCACAGAAGCTATAATCAGAAATGAAATATTTCACAAATAACCATGATTAGTTGTCAGGTCGATAAGAAAACATATCACTTTGTGGCATCCGATTTACTCAGTCTAATCGCACTACGCGGTTACATCTACTTATTTATGGGTGACTGTCCAAAGAGACCACGGCTTCATCGTACTAGAATATTTGTGATGCATCGAACGTAGGGCCGCATTTTTGAGTTTGGATGAATAACGGCGCGTTCGACCATCAACTATATCTTCCACTATCCGTAGACAAAATTAGTATAGTAAAGTCAGTTCGAAAAGACACAAGCAGGCTCTTAATGATAACAGATATGAATAGTGATGATTACAAGCCTAAAGCAGAAAAACTACAAATCAGCCTGGGGATTGATTCTTAATTCATAAAAGCAAAATTTCACAATCCATTATAGATATGGATTCAGATGCCAGCTATTAATATAAGCATAAAAGAATGTACGAAACAGGATTCCACGGTGCATTGCACAGCTCCTTCGATTGTAGATTGAGATCGGGATAATTTTACAGGCGAACATGCCATAATACATATTATTTGAGTAAAACGGTGACAGTCACATCTCACGTCATTTTATTGCCTTCCTATTCGGCAATCATAGCAGTACTGCTCGGTTAATTTTCGCAAAGCATTAAACGAACAGATTACACCGTATATATGCAGAAAACTTTACGTTATCAAAACCTCATTTGAACATGAAAATAATAACTCCTGTTTTGTGCTGTAACATAATATAATGAAACATGCTTTCGTTACTATCTTTGTTCTAAAAACTGTTACTTATCAGTGGCATCATCCAGAGTTTCGCATCAAAGGCAACATTCATAACCAAATAACACGATCATTGTTTATAGAGATGTACATATTAGCTGGATGCCATTTTACCTATCGTTTTTATCACAATAAAAGCAATATTCATGCTAAATTAAAAATACAAGATAGAACTTGAAAACGCACCTTAGAGCTGCATTATGGTACAGGTTAAGACGAAACAACGTTCACGCTCTGAGAACTAACCAAGGAGATAACTGTAAGAATTGAAGAGTAAACGGTACTTTAATTACGCACAACGGTCACAAGTTCTACCACGGCAAACAGATGGCCGTGGCTGACGCTCAGCATTGTCCAGAAACGATGTACTATGAATCTCTCAAGACGGATTATTAGTAGTCTCTGAGTCTTGCAGAGACTCTGAAACAGCCGGTTCGGACTCACCTCCTCTTTGTTCTTCCTTTGAAATTTTTTCTTCTGTGACAGTCCTAAGTTTTTGATATTCCTCTCGAGAGATCAGGTTTTCGAAATTCAGAGAGTTTCGACATGAAGGTAAGATGATTGCCACATAGCCATTGGTTTCAGGGTATTCCTGGAGCAGCAATGGATTCGTCTGCAGTTCAACATTCACCTCAACCAGGGTACCCTTGACACAAGCTCGCAACACGTACACCGATGCGTCGCTGCAAGTGACCGTACACAACGTTGATTCAGGTAACAGCATTTGTCCCCCCTTCTTGTGCTTGCCACTGACTTTGTTGTCCAAACGGCTGAAGGAATCGGTAATACTGAAATCGATGCTCGTCACGCTGCGACCAGGCACACGTAACACAGGATGAGAAGGAGCGATGGTAATAAGGCAGATGTGATTCGAATGGACAAGTACACATTGGTCCTCCCCAAAAGCACCATTGACGTCGCACATGTACAAGCGAGTGTAATAACGATCAACCACGCTGGATAACGTTGGAATCACAGGAAAACGGGACCGTTCCATCATCGCACTACGAGAAATGTGAAAACAAAATGAAGCGGATTACAAACAGCATACAAAAAATATAATGTCGACCTCAACCCGAAATATACAGGGGAGAAAAATTTCTTTGCGAAAACAAAATTATTTTGCAAACAAACAAAAAAGTACAAAGATACATAAAAAACCTACTACCAAAAACATTTCGTACAAAAAAACAGAAACCAAAAGGTACCGACAAAAATCAACGAATAATCTCCGTTACAGCTTGCGCTAGCAGATCCGGATAAGCGGGACGAAAGCTGTCACAAGCGAACATACTATCGTTGCCGTCGAACGATAGTCCGTCGAACTATAAAGAAAAGCAATACAATTACAAAACCTAGGGTAGTCGAATAATAA